TGGATCTTTGCCATTCTCACGCTTACTTGACGAAACCGGTGCAATTCCCACTGATGCTTGATTGGATGAAATCATCACCCCACGTGATTCTTTGTAAGAATTGGTATGTGTAGTGTATTCATTCCGCTTTCCCTGCTTTTAGGTGCTTTTCATTATAGCATTCAAGTGATGTTGGTCCATGCTTTTGAAGCAATGCTTCTTTGATTATCAGATAGACTATACTGAAGGCTTATCCCAATTCTCCTATTGCCAAAGAGGACATGACAACACATAGTATATTTACTCTCTATCCCAACTTCATACCACTTTTATATAACATGTATCGCATTAATAAAATTCCATAGCATTGGCATGCAGGGGCCCTGAAAAATGAAGATTTGAAATTTGGAAGAAGTCGACAGAAGGCGTACCGAGGAGGGGGAAGTTTCACATATAGTCAGCTGAAGTTATAAGCTATACCGCTTCATTCATTATTGGGCTTAGTGCATTTTATATTTGCTTTGACTCATTGAAAGCCACTTCAGCTACATAGGAGGCAGAAACTTTAGTTACTCAGTATTTTTGAGCTATTGTTTGATTGATATACAGGGCTGGCCATAATTACCAATGTCAAGCATGTGCCGCGTCCCGGGAGGCGGGGGAGTTGTAGGGAGTTGGACACTAGAAGGAGTATAGACGCGTCAAAAATAAAAACCATCCACAACTTGGTTACTTCACTGTTACGCGAATTCACCGCTAAAATTTTTACAGATACCACAATCAAAAATTGAAAAAATTGATAGCTGTACTGTTATTACACGAAAATATGGAAAAACCACCTTCAGAAATGTCGATAGGAGTGTAGAAAGTATCCTTTTTAAGCATTGAAATTGCCAGAATGTTCAGTGCTAGCATTTGCAGCGGTTACTTTTTACCTTTTTCCAAAAAGAAGTTACCGCCTTCCTTCTAAATGCTTCCAGTGGACGAACTAGAATCTTCCCCATAATTTATGCTCTTCATGCCTTCAGTCAAGTCTGAAAAAGCTCTCTAAACGATTCAACTCTTTTTCAAATGTCACTATTTCAGCCGAATTCGCATCCAATTCTGCCATACGGCTTCAAAATATTTAAAAAAACTCAAATTTCTAACATATAATCGTCTGGGTTGCAGTTATACAACATCTCTAAAAAACGCTAAAAGATTACTCTGAAAGGTGTTGACTGATTTGTGTCACCCTCTTCCCAGTTGAGGGTATCAACTGGAATGAGAAGCTACACAGCTAACACCTAATTACCTGTACCTTAACCCAGATTTGAACCACCCAATTTTTTCTCAAATTAAACCGCTTACCTTCCTTCTTCAATTATAACTTTGTGCGTTTCTCGAACAAAGATATTTAAACAAGGAACTGCACCCATTCAATTCTCATTTTAAGGATTTTTGCCGATTTCGTAGAGAGCGCGCAGGAGTTTCCAAAGTCTCGCCGCTTGTGCCTAAAGCGAGTAATTAGGTCTATCGGAGGAAACCAACACTCCTAAGCGCTCAGCTCTAACTCCGCACCGCAATCTAATGTAGTAGTGATTTCACATAATTATGAGCATAGAGCAGGTTTTCTGCGAGTTTTACTATAATTGCAATACTCCAAAATCGAGTGAGCAGCTTTGGAAAGTTTTCTGGCTTAGATGAAGCGCCACTCTTCAAAGTTAGTAGTGTTAGGTAGAATAACACGTACTAACGGATTGGGTCACTATATTCCCCCTCAATATTTAAGGCAGTAAGATGTCAAAAACACCATCAAAATGACAAATTGTAGGCACTGCATTAAATTGGAGGTACACTCAAAAATGATATGAATGAGAGTATGAGTAACCGTGAACTTTTCTTCACCGCTTTGATCTATTCATAGTGCGACGTTGT